TTTCATTATACTTACAAAGCTTATTTTAAGTGAATAATGGAGATTAATAATGAGAACCATTATGCCTAAAAGCATGGACGTTTTATTATTATTATTGTTGGGCAATAATGCCCTGCTATCTAAAGATACAGTGCGCTACACTCACATTTACAGAGTATTTCTTCAAGTCCAACATCCTCAATAAATTGTTATTGCACCTAAATAGCATAGTTTTATTTCTTCATTCGATATAAGATGTAGAGATATATATATTTCTTTCGCTTATCCATCAGAGTCGGGTAAATTTCCAACACATATGTCTACGTCTCATTCTCCTCCTGACAGGAGAGTCTAAAATCTTCTTTGCTTTGAAAATGCTTGGAAACAGTTCTTATTGTTACAGCCATGGTAGATTATCCCAATAGAGTTTTCTGTTTTTTTTTCTTTTCTACGAATTGGTGAGAAGAAATCATCTGCTCCCAAATCACAGAATCACAGTTTTAGGTGTGAGCAACAGCGAAGCTGCTGTTTTACTGACAAGTTTATCTACAATTTCGTTCCCGGAAATTTCAGCGTGGCCCACAACCCTAAAAATATTAGTTTCTCAACACACTCCTGACAGTTAGATCATTTGTCTTAATGTCACTTGAGACTATTTATAGCTAACAGTTAGAATAACTAACAGTTAGAATAACTAATTTATGTTCCTAATAGTTACATGCAAGGTTAAAATATACATATCTGTCTATCGTATGCGCATAGAAAGACACTCATTTAGTAAGTCAATTTAAAAACTAATTTAAGAATCTATTTCCAGGAAGCATTTTGAGGGGACCTCCTTGTTTAAGTCACTACTTAAATCTATCTAAACTTAAGAGCTATAACTCAACATTGCTTGATAAATAATATTTTTTTTTATTGTAAACTAAATTCTTTTACTTCCGAATTGTCGAAAGAACATCAACTTTTATGTTGTGAGATATTATAATATCTATTATGTGTATATAAGCTTTTGAATTTGGCAGCTTCTACATATATTTAAGAAAAACACAATATATAATATTTTTTATATTCGTACGTCGAAAATTCTTACCTACAATGTTTCCTGATATTAAACAATATTGATGAACAGAATGATATGGTTAGTATGAGCTTTTAAAAGGCTCTAGTGATAACAACCAAGACGAATTCTTGTTTACCTTAATTTCAAGAATATGTACTCACACATTATAGAAGATAAAATATCGATGACTAAACTATTTTCTTAAAATCCCCATTTAGTTATGCTATAAAAAACTCCAATATTCTCATTATCATATATCATATATATCCAATATTCTCATTATCCCTTAAAGCAAATAAACTGATGACCAATAAATTTTGTCAAATGAACTACCTTTTTATTATTAATGTTATTTAAGTACGTAAAGTAAAAGTTAAAAAACATATAAATTAACTAAAGAAAAGATTGTGTATATTTTCATTTATTTTTTACATTTTTAAATATTAAAAATGTTGGATATTAAAAAATAATTGTTGTGCCAGCTTATAGTTTATTAATATAAGCTGTCAAATATAAACTGCTTAACCCTTATAGAAGTCCGTAATTCCTGTAAAAACCACAATAATCCAACAGCCTCACAAACATTAATCCTGCAACTGGAGGAAAAACCAATAAGTCGTAACAATAAAAAATAATTTATATCAATGCATAAAAGAAGCTGCAAGAGCCACGCAAAAGCTGAGAATTTCACTTTCTTCGCAGAGTCTACAGTACTCTTAAACCCACTTGTGGACACTGGCTTTTTAAACTGTGCCTGCCAAAAGTCATATGTCAACGGCAAAAGTCGTAATCGCCAAAAATTTATTAAAATTTGCTAAAACTCACAATGAAATATAAAGAAAGATAATAAAAAAAGGTTATACATAAAAGAAAGATACAATACCTCACATATCGATTGATTGCAACTCATTGATATTTCAATTAATGCAGATATGCGAATTTTTTTTCAATAGCTGTCAAAGACAACTCGCTTATAAGCAAATGAGTATTTACATAATATACAAAACAATATCAGATAGTTTGTGGTACTTTATAAATTCGTAGTAAGTATATATACACAATTTAAAATTATAATATATAATAATAAAATAAAACTTTTTGAAAAAAAATTGTAATTAAATATGCAATAATTAACGAGTAGATTATGTTTATTTTGTATTTAAAATTTTAACTTATATATCAATTATATAGCAACTAAGCCGCGAGTATTGCTCATTTCAGATTCTTGCACGGAGAAATCGAAACTATAAATTTCCTTCGTGCGAATCACCTTTAAAACGCATCATGTTATGTATTGAAATTCGCTTATTTGGCTTCAGGCTACAATAAGGCATGCGGAACGCACCACAATGGGACGTCACATCGGTCAATTCGCAGCAGCACTGCGGATTATCAACGGAAGCATCTTCAAGATTCAAGTCAAAGTCGTTTTCGCTTTTACTCGGAATAATTACTTAAATTCTCACAGATAAACTGAAAATTCAAAAATTTAATCAACTTCAAAAGTCATGACAGACCGTGCTTTGTCACTGGAACTGCTGATATGATAAATGATTTTTAAAATTATTTTAAGTTACGATTTGTGGATTAAATAGTACTTATCATATTTTGTTTAAATCGAAAACAATTGCAATACTATCTCGACGATGCTTTAATATTCTGTACAACAATAATTATTATAAAAGATTGATTTTCTAAAAATTTTTTTGATGATAATCTATATGAGCATAATATCAAATTTCAAGTATTAAACAAAATAAATTATTAAATTCTAATATAAATTTATTCCTGTATATCTTAACCATAGTTCGAAAAATAAAACTACAATAAATTAACATTTTCTTATTTAAAACACATTTAAGTGTGCTACCACATCTCCGACATCTAAAACAAATTAAGGAGCTCTTATCCGCATCACTATAGGACAGATCGCATGATCATGGAACTTCGCTTCGGTAGAAAGTTCGAAGTCCTCATTCCCGATCGATTCTGCCACTTAAATCTGTGGACCGGAACCCTATTGTGGATTAAGTTGGTCTACAACTAGGTATCTAATTGATAAATGGATCTTAGCCGAGAGAGATCGCTACTGGCGCGACAATCGAGGTAACCGTCAAGTTAAAGAGCTGGTTCCCCCATATAGTTATGGCAAGGCATCCCTCCTTAGCAGATCAGACTTGAGATTGCTGGCGGGATATTTAACGGATCACCATGGACTGCGTTATCACCTTAATAAGATGGGTCTGTCCGAGGAGACGGATCTCGTCGACTCTGCTTAGAAGCAGACGAGACTACCAGTCACATTCTCTGTGACTGCCCAGCCTTGATCTGGACAAGGAGGAGGTCACTGGGAGGAGGTCTGCTCTCTCCTTCTGACATTCTGGCTTTCATTCGAAAAGCGGAATGTCTTCTGTTCGGTTAGGGTCAGTTGTAGCACAAAAGATCAATCTGGTCACAGTGCTCTGCTCCATTGGGAGCTTATACCCCGTTTATTTCTATTCTATTCTATTCTATCCGCATCACTAACAAATGATTATAATATGGCAATGATATAAAAAGTTAATACTTAGAAAACATACCAATATTAATGTATACATTGAATTTAATACAGATAGCATTCAAAAACTTTAATCAAAAGAATATCTGTAGCTACTTAACACCGACTTTTGAGGACCTGAAGTTAAAGTAAAGTGATTACAAAAGCCATTATTGAAGTTGATCAGAACAGCAAAAGTAGAAACCAATACTCTTAACTAACTAGTAACTAATAACTTTGACTTTTGGACTTAATATAATGGCACCAGTGGCGTAACTACATTTTTTAGGCCTGTAAGCAAATTCTAACTAAGGGGCCCCTACCAACATACTAAGGGGCCCCTCTTTTTATACTCTTTACACGAAAAAATGTAAAAAGGGTATATAAGGTTTGTCAAGATTTTCGTAACGCATTAAAGGAAACTTCGGAAATACCATTAAGTATATATCAGTATACTTTTACAGTTCAAACTACTCTCTCAGCTTTTGAACTCTTCGAATAAAACTTTATACACATACTTTTCGGGAGCGCACCCTCTTCACCATTTGATTTGATTGAAATTGGACGTCTATTTCTTGTAGCTGTGATATAAACTTAACAATCGGATATGAGGTTTCTCCGTTTTTAATAAAGGTATTCAAATGGAATATGGTGTATACAGTACTGATATTTGCAAAAGACAACTTTTGCAAATAGTGGAAAGTGGAACTTTCGTCCCACTTTTGAGAATTTATTAAAAAGAAATACAATGAATACAAAAATTTATAGTGGGGCCCCCTAAATTCGGGGGCCCGAAAGCGTTGCTTCCAGTTGCTTCCCTGTAGTTACGCCACTGAATGGCACTCAAAACATATCATAAAATGTTTATTTAAACTGTTTTGAAACTGGAAATATCCATGATAAATAATATATTTTTCTTTCAATTAATCAAAATGATAGTTTCATTTTCCTAACCTAACGTATATATTTTCAAAAGTATTTAGCATATACGTATGTGTATAAAAAAGTACAGTGATAATAATAATATTTAAAATAATTTTTTAACATAGCAACACGAAATGATATTTAAATTTTTATCTAGTTTTTATAGTTTTAAAAATTTTATATATTTTTTTTTTTCCACAAAAATGTTTGGATTTCATTCCCCGTACCAAATTGGTTAATATGTATATGTATACGTAAGGCAATAAGCTGATTAAACTATTGATTAATTTAATAACATATCGAAAATAATCGGCCAATTTATACATTTCAAATACAAAAGTCATTTTCCTGGTAAACACCACGTAAAGGTAAGTAGGTCTTCAATCTTTTACTAGTCAATAAAATTAATGCCAGACAATCATCAAATCATATACAAGTCTTTATAAAATGATAATACATAATAATTTATATATGAGTTAAATGCATAAGTTTATTTACAGTTGATTTTCTGTTTGTTCTCCTGGACAGTATAAGGCGTATATAATTCTTTTTTCAACTATGTTTATCTACTTCCTTCACAATTCCACTTCGATCAAAGAACTAACGTCGCATACAAACTTCTACTTTATACATTTTGTATCTTTATCTTACTCCGAATCGAGTAATATATGTAATACATATAACACCTATAACATATCGAAACCCAAATCTTTTTTAAAAGACGTCTCGAGATATGTTTGCATTAACGGGTTTTTCTTAATTTTAAGTATAATAAATAATATATAATATATAAACCAACTTAAGACGGGAAATCATGACTCATAACTACTATTGCATAATGATGTTTGTACGGTAACAAATCGGATTTCTTTTCAACTTCATCACAAACTTCATTCTTCAAACTTAATAAAACTGTAGTTGTACCACTTTTGAGGATATCTATAAAAAGAGAGATTTTTATTTATTATATATATTACATTATATTTTTTATATATAAACAATATCATTTGAAGAAATATAAACATTGTCTATCTATCTATTAAGGTTAGATTAAATTACTTTATCCAGGGTGTTATACGTTACCGTCTACTTGTCTCATTTATTAATAATACAAACTCATCAAATACTTATTGATGTTATGTTATCATATGCAAAAAATTAAGGATAATTTAAAATGCTCCTTTTTTTATTTATTAAAAGAAGTTAAGTAATCTATAACACATAGTATTTTCAGTAGAACTTTCTGATAACTTTCGGATCATTAAAACTGACTGAACATCATTTTTGTTATTACATGCTTAAGGTGGTATTATATTCAATCCTGTATCAAAAATGCCTCGTATTAACCGAGATCCATCCATTGAAAATTTGGATGCGTTCTTTGAAGCAAATATAAACGTAAGTCTTTAAATTTCATCTGTTTTTATATACTGCGTTTATTTTTAGAATATAATTCAAAAAAAATTTTTATATTCCACAAAATTATTTAGAGGGCTCGTCAAGAACTAAATGCAAACTCATCCCGAAAAGCATATCCTGACAAATATGGCAGTGACGGAGAATCTATTGATGACGAGGAGGAAAATGATGTTGAACACGACTGGTTTAAACTAGAAGCAGAGGAAAATGAGAAACTACTAAATCGTTCAAATTTCATCAAGTTCATCACCAATACTGACTCCCCAAAGAAAGTTTTTACCAAAGATCCCGTCAAGAATGAGTTTATTGAACGCATGAATAGACGCAATGCAAATTTAAGGCATGTTTTAGGAGACTTCGAGAGACAGTTATTAGAAACAATGGTTGAAAATAGTAGTGAGGAGAATTCCAACACGTCTTCTGAATCTAACGTCTCGTCTTCGTTAGATGATGATGATATAACAATCGTTTCTGTTGACACAGATTCTGCTGAAAGTAACCAGTCTGGCTAATATCGATTTAAGTCTAAGTTGATTTTTTCTGAAATTCTATGCATAACTACTATTTTTATACAATTCAAATTTTCTGTTCAATAAAAACATAAGACATATTAAGAAATTAAAATGCAGTTTATGTATTTTACATAACTGAATAGATATATATTTTCGTGGGTACGTATGTATATGAAAATTATTTTACAGTTAATCTTCCGCTGCTTTGACTATTTATGTTATTACGATTTATGTTCATTACTCAAATCTTTATATGCATAGTACAGGATTAATATTTTGTATAAAACGATCTCTTCTGAATTCTGATTGCTTTTTCGATTTTTCGATTGAACGTCGACTCATATCTTCGATAACACTAGTATCTAGTATCCACATCATATATATCCACATATATTTAATAACATGCCTCATTTGTGCACACCTAATTCATTTAACAAAATAATATAATTGTAATAAAAAATTCTATTTAGTTTTTTTTACTCTATAAAGCAACAATAATTTTCCAATTATCTGAAAACTGTTTTACATTCCCGGTTCCTAGTAAAGAATCTCAATAAACTTATTAACGGGCTACAATAAAAATATAAAAATATAAAAATGTATAAATGTAATATAATAGTAATAATAGAATGTATGTTAGAATATAATAAAATGTAGAAAACTTAAACGGAAGAAAAAGTGATAAGTCAAGACGCAAACAGCTGATTTCATTTTTCTATTATTACTATAATAATGTTTCTGGAATATTGAGTGGAAAATGCTTTAATAATTAAATATAAAAACACAAAAATATAATACAACATAGAACTATAAAATTTTAAAAACCACAACAGGAAGCTAATCTTAAGAACGTGTAAAGCCCTTTGGGAAATACTATCACCGACATATTCAAGGAAATTGAACCAAGTACGTTTCGACATATAAGAATTGCAAATGTTTTCCAGCTAATAATGATACTCGTTCACTAATAATGATGATACAAATGTTCACTATAACATATAACGATACTTGCATTTATCTGGATAAGTTGACACATTTTCCATACGAAATTTATCGAAAATCCATATAAAAATGTGCGATGTAAATATTCATTTATATTGTATTGGTATATAATTAAAAAATATGTCCTTAAATCATTAGGGGTATTCAGGCAACTGATTAGTTGCTTAGTTGATTCAAAAACTTCATATCAAAAAAATTTAGCATTTTGATGTTAATCAGTTGCTTGAACGACCCAAAATGCGTAATCTGATTAGTTTGTTGTGTGTAAATGCCTTGGCAGCACTCGCATCAACAGCAAAAGCGAAACATACGTTAACAGTGAAAATTGTTTACACACAATTCAAACAGCTGAGAGAGATAGCTAACAAATTTCTATACAAAAGTTTATTTTAAGTTATTATTACGACACTTGGGACTGGCAGCACTATTAATCAAATTTGTACTAATCTGAGAATCACCGAAATAGTTAATTCCCTGCTTAGTTTCATTTTTGTGTGGAAATTTTTGTTGTAATCAACTACTAAACAACTAATCAGTTGCCTGAATACCCCTATTGTAGTGTGCGAATTATGAGTTACAAGTTATGAGGGAAACAAACCTAAAATAGTTAAAATAAAAATTAATAATAGGCCTTATCTTTTGTAAGCATATTACAAAAGAGCAACTCCTTATTTTAAAAATAATATGAAACAACAACACTGCTATGTTATTTAGTCTTACCTTTTTGACATTGCTTAACTAATAAGCAGCTCAAATCACATAGTTGCCAAAACTAAAAATCTGTCTATTGTGAAGGATTTTTATCCGGAGTTGCCATCGAAAGTAATGCTTATTTTATTTGTTCTTTTGCGACATGTTAACAAAAGAAAAGGCCTAATAAAAAATAAATTAATAATAAATAAAATTTTATTAGAAATATATAGTGAAAAACGCAGCAACGTATGAATTTATAGTTTTTCATCGTCAATTATTTTAATTTAATAAATTCGGTTGACGGTAGTATGAAGAAAAATTTTCTAAGTTTTAGTAATTTTGTAAATTATAACTCAAGCATATTCAGCCAATATAGCAGCGAATAATAGTGAAAGGGAAATTTATCATCGGCACCTTGATTTCAAAAAGTATTTATATGCCTTGACTTTAAAAAATTTGTGATTGCCATCAGGCAACACTGGTTTTAGACATTTACATGAACACTATTTTTCTTATTAAATCAAGTTATAGATTTATAAACTTTGTGTCACATTATCTTTTAGAAAATGAGTCTGAAAAGCTGTAAGCTCCTGACATTAAAACAAAAGGTTCTGAAAATTATTACAGACGTTTTAATTGCCTTACCTGAATCTCTTGATGAGAAAGAACTAACTGAATTCGTTGCGGTTAGGTTCGGCGTAAGTCAAGGAAAACATTTTAATTTTTTATCTTTTACTATTTTATTCACTTTTTTTAATATAAGGTGCCTGAAAAGGATGTCGAAAAACATGTAAGGGATGTGTTGAAAGAAGGTGTTAAGAGTAAATACTTTCAGATGGATAATGGAAAATACGAATTGTCTGTACAAATTTGAAAAAGTAAGAACATAAAAATATTTTCACAAAATGTCATTTTATTATATCCATTTTATAGTATTCAAAAATTTGTCAAACAAATATGGCCGATAACTGCTTGCAATAATTAATTTCAATAAAACTTAATCATTAAGATAAATTTTTGAGTAAATATGTACTGATAATGATTTTGTTTTTCATGAATAATTTTATTTTAATCTGTGTGAAGGTAATCTCCGAACATCAGTTACGGTTGAGATCTGTTTGCTCGATTTTAAAACTAATAATACCCTGTGTGTGTGTGTGTATGTGTGTGTGTGTTTGTGTGAAAATATAACTAATAATCAAATGTACATACTTTGTAGAGGTTAGGTTTAGAAAATTGACCTTACGTGAATTTTTTCGGAGAAGTAAAAAAACGAAGTAAAAAAAATACATATCACTTATTAAAACTAACCATTTTTGACATTAGTAGACCTTGTTTTTCATATAACAAAATCTATATACAATAAATTATAAATAAATAGAGCCAATCGCCTTACCTTCAGAAGATAAGCCATTATTCTATAAGAAAAATCGAAATTTCAGGAAATTTTACTGAACAATGATTGCCAACCAAAAATATTGGCTGTGTAGATTTCTTCTCTTGCAAAAGCTTGTTTAGCAAAATAATGGAGCACTTCCTCGATGTTATGCATTGAATACACAAAATGATTGCGCGTACAATCTCACACATCTTATTAAAGTGGACAAAAGCTATAACATTCTGAATTTAGAAGGTTAAAGTATTGCAATTGCAGGAACCCTTAGAACGTAATGTAATGTAACTTTTATTATCTATTGCATTTCAATTAAAAGTAAGGCTTGCAACAGCATTAACCCACATCAAGAGACTGCTGCACATTACCTATATATTGGGACAGTCGGACTCTTGATACAATTCTCAACTATCTTTATAGGATGACATCAGACTTTTCAACTTTATATCTCTCTTTTGAAACCTACTTACAGGAAACATTTTCAATATTCTTTGTACTACATATTAATACATATATATTTATATATAATAACTATATATAAATAAAATGTATATACATTTTTGTGGGTGGCTCGGATATGGTCTACCAAGTAGCAGCGGGAGCTTTCTCATTATTTACAAAAATAAATCGGTCGGTTAGACTACAACTTTTCAGGCTGAAATTTTGCAAGTAGTCCTTACATATATTCACTTCAGCTAGCTAAGATGTAGAAGCTACTTGATTCGTGTTAAGTTACTTAAGTCGACTTGTCGGTTATCGTATAACAAATGCAAATTTAAGAAACTCAGCAACTGAGGCAAATTGCAGTCTTCCTCTCTGGCTACAGCTGTATATGAGCTCACAAAAAAGAAACTACATAATCTTTTAAATTCTCAGCTCTCACTTCCAAAAAAAATCGGTACTTTTTCTATAGTTTGATGACAAAATATTATTTAAATTACCTAAATTCATTGAATAGTTTTTGGTTCTAGGATAGGTTAGACCTATAATTCTTATCTATTTAGACTTCTTGCAAATAATGTATTAGTAAAAGGATGACTAACCGATTGTTTTGGAAAGTGGAAGGATATGTGGTGTCCTGCATGTAACTAATCAGAACCCACTGATATTTTCGTAAAAAACAATTGTCACCAAGTAAATCTACTTGTTTTCATACTAATAATAATAGTCATACTAATTATAAATCGTGGCAACAAATATTCAAAAAAGTGCTGTATTTTAGAAATTATTTTATCAAATTTCATAAAGTTTCGCACTTCGTAATCATTATGAGAATCACATGAAGAATACCTCATATAAATAATTATTCTAGTAAAGTTCCAATACATTTATTGCTTAGTTTCACTATTTTTTATACAATATGATTCAACTTTTTAAGGTAAAGAAGAAATTTGATGTAACTAAATGAAAATTATTTACAATCCACTTCATTGCCAACACAAAGTCGCCGTCAGGAACTGGAAGATTTTGTAGGTATTCTAATTTTAAGTACATGCCACTCATAATAAGAAATCCCTAAAAATATAAATGTTTTTGGAAATCATTTTCAATTATAAATAAAAAACAAACCTCAAAAGGACACCAGTGATCAATAATTAAATATGGTTTTATAAATTTAAACACTAGATTGAAAACAGGATTATTTCGTTTAGCTAAATATTGACAAACGTCAGCGGTAAAGTTATACAAAAATGGTTTGTAGCCATTGGCTCTTTTCAGAAGGGCTACATTCAACTTTAATATATAATAATATATATGTATATAAAAATTAATTAAATAATTCGAGTATACATACGACAACATTCTCCACAGGTTCCACAAGTGTTACGTTCAAATAAAGTGCTGTAGTATCACGTCGAAGGGCTTTTAGTCGGCAAGTATTGATTACAACCCATGATTCGTTATAGGATTCACATACTGCATTTGTGAGTTTGAAGACACATATCACCTAGTAAGATCTGTATTATTTGTAAATTTCAGACTAGTTTATAGAAATACTTACGCTTGGAATATTAATCGCTATACACATCCAAAGATATAGATTATTATGCGTATATTTCATCTTATTTATAACTCACGCTTTACTGATCGAACCATGACTGACAAAGAACAAACTACTTTCCACGTATATTCAATACACAATTATTAGTTCATTTTGTCATAATTATATACAATAGTGTAAAACTTCAAATAAATTTAAAACCCATAACGAAAAATATTTATTTAAATCGAATTTGAAATTAAATATTAATTATTTTTAATAACGCAATAAATACTTTGAAATCAAATTTTAATCTGATTGAATAATTTCCATCTATATATAGGGTGTTTTTTTTGAAATATTTAAGGTTTTTAACTAAAAGAAAATGGGAAAAATAATTTATAATTGGATGTATAGAGTCCTTTACTAAAAACTAAAGTATAGTTTGGTTATGATTCCTTAATCTAATAAACCAAAAAAATTGATTGTCTTGCATAGATAGCAAGTAACCATTTTTAATGTCTACGGTGACATCTTGCTATGAATTTTTATTTAATGGCAGCAAATCACATGATCTAATAGCACTCACTTCTAGACATAATCGAATATTTGCTTCAATAACTTGTTGATTTCTTTGTGTTAGTTTATAGTTTAATTATCAGATGTAACATTGTATTGTTATGACCAAAATTTATGCAGAGCATGTTCATCCACTTATGGAAAAATAAATGATTGTTTATGGGTCTAGCCCAGCCGCCATTGTCGATGACATACTGATTTTCATCATTTTATAAACATGTACGATCCAATCCTACAATCAGTCTATATTATTTGCGTCTTCTTTAATCGATATATCAAATTTTCTTTATTAACAAAATTATCGAATCTAATGGCATCATAGGTTACCGCACCAAATTTTTATAGTACATTTATATGATATATGTATATATAAAAATAATTTAATATTGTTAGTCGTATATAAATATTTTTTACAATCTTTCATCGAAATACAAATAAGAACAGACACAATCAAGTAGGACTATCACATATTCACTGAGGATTCGAAGAGGATGGAATTTGGAGTTTAAGTTGGAATCTTTTTAGTTCAGTGTAAAAATCAACTAAGATAGAGTTGAGTTTCCTTTCTACCACATATGTAGAATCTGCCAAGAAAAAGACAACCAAAAAGAACTACTGAACTATGGAAATATACGGGGCTCATTAAAAGCTTGACGGACAACAACATCTTAATAATATACTGAAGACTGAAGCATTATATGTTTAATAGTCAGTGTAAGTGCTCCATCTATTAATTGTATATGGCCAGTATACGCTAACCTACAAACTATTGTATATGGAGACTTTATAAAAAAGAAAAAGAGAAAGGGAAATCAAGAAAATATAAACAACATACGCATACATATATGTAAAAATATATAAATAATTAACCCATTGGTGAAGTTTAAGTTTATTTAATAGTTAAATAAGTATTAGTAATTGGTATGTTATACTGACCCAGTTGGAAACGGATCGATCCGTCATCGAAGATATGAAAGTTATTGTAACTGAACCACAGTCAAAGTGTCGCTTCATGCAGTCATTTCTCTATATATGTTTGTACTCGAAAATGTACTCGACATCGCAAACTATTACCGAATTAAAGAACCTAAACCTCGCGCCATCTTCAATGTCTCTCCAACCTTTTCGAAAACATTCGTTGCGTTATAATTATAATGGATAATTGCCTCTAAAGCTCTTCTTTGAGAATCCTGTAATTAATTTCGGCATTTTACACAAAAATTCATACAAACCTTTAATTCATTCGTATGATTGGCAATTATCAGTATAAGCACACTAATGCTTACCGACATAGTATTTTTGGTCATAAAATATTAAAATTAATCTTACCATTTTTGAAACTTATAACTGTTAGATTAATCGTTGACCACTTGATCATCTGGTCCTTAAGGTGGAATGTTTCTCACATCGACTTCATTAATAAATATATAGCATTGTAAGAAAACCGTGGGACTATGCGTCAATATGTTTCTACCTTAACCAATGCAACTGTCTGAGACTTTAGCAGTTAGCAGCAGTGCAACCAATATCAAAAAAATACACAGCTCAATAAAGTTTGAGTTTCAGGGTACTTATTTACATTTTTTAAATAGTATTAAAAAAATATTCCTTACTTTTTAATCATACATCGTACATTATCTATTTATTCACTTTTTTTTGGATATCTTTCATTGATGAACCAACAATAGTTATACAAATCTTCACCAGGAATATTTAACTGTATTACACTCGTAACCAGAAATTACTGTATATCTTGTTTTTGGATATAGACATATGTAATGTTCAAATTATCTTACATTATCAAGATAAATACTGTAATAATTTTTTACTAGATTAGTGATTTTATTTTTAATATATTTTATTTGCGAGACCAGAACTCACTCAATTAGTTAATTTTTAAGAAACTAAATTCTTTGCATCCACAGTGTACTATATTTCCATGTCGCAAATTGAGCAACGCAGAGTGATTATTCTGTTAAGTAAAATGTCAACTGTTTGAAAATTATGTGCTGACAACGAAGTCGGTACATTTATGGGCCATTGAAATTGTATCTTACAACACAAAACTGCTCCACAATACAAGACATAAACAATGCCCAACGTTCATGGGTGTTTGACTCACAAAGCAAATACAACGCCATGTGTTGCCTTCGACATTCAGCGAACTCATGTTCAAGTCCTTATGGTTTTTTAATATATTTTGAAGCTATTTTTTACACTGTTCAACTTTTGACCCATTAAGGTGTTTTCAAATTTATTTCATTGCCGTCAAATAAATATCAATTTGAACTGCAAACTAACGACGAACTGGCATGAGAAGTTGGAGACTAAGCGGGGATTTCCGAACGAACATTAATTAAAATTCAAGTAATAAAATTTAATTTTAACATTTATTTTATTAAAACTAAAACACGAGGAAAAAGGTTATCACCAGTTTGCAAATATTTAATACAGATTTATTAGCTTCATTCTTCTCGTCATTCCAATAGGTGCGATAACCAATAAAGGGTTTGGTGTTCTAATCCCAAATGCGATTTCGTTATTAAACTTGGTTATGACTTATGCAAATGATCACGAAAAACTGTTGAATAATTAAATTAATTCAGAATATGTTAAAAAGGGTCTCAGTTTGAATTAAATTAGTTTTGTCAACTGTTATTCGAATTTAAAAAACAGGAGTGGCTGTGAGAAAAGATCGTAATGTAAGCACTTTATCATATAAAACTGTAATTTATAAAAATAAAATAAAGAAATTCCCAGACTGTTAAAAATATGTATTTTACTTCATTTATCTGCAAAAAGAAATACTATATATTAATTACAATTTACACAATTTATGAAATTGAATTTAAAAATACAGCTTTAAAGTTTTTATAAATAAAAGAAATTAAAATAATTTTTTACGTGTCTTTAATAAAATAATAATATATAAAGCCCGAATCAACTTCAAATCATACTATTAAATACTTATCAATGTCCTACATTTGAAATGTAGTGGTCTTCAACTCGTTCTATAATGGCGCTGCCGGAATAAGGAGGAAGAATTAACAAGCTCTCATCTGCTGTACAGATACATAGGTTTACATTTTGGGGAACTCTTCTTCTTCTAAGTACTATTAGAAACTGTTATCTAAAGCATCACAAAATACTCAAAGAAAATTATTTGGTTGAATGAAAGTTCCTTTTGGACAGGAATTACACTCATCAGAGAAATTCTCTTGAAATAGGAATAACCAAATATCTAAAAGGTGACACTTATCAAAATATGAGCCCTAGAATATCGAATTGAACACATAGGTGATTCAACTTTAAATTTAACCTATCTAATTCAATTAATAACTTATTTACTATTAATAAAATGATAACCTCTAACCTCACTATTTATACACCACTGGTTTGAAAAACTTCCAGTTCAACTTCTTTTTTTTGTGTTAAAATTACTGTTTTACCTTTTTTTAAAAAAAATATATTGTATTTTCTTCTTAGTATTTATTCATGTCACATAAATATCATATATATAGTAATTTATTGTCACGATTTCCCAGACATGCTGATTTGAGAACTTTTGAGGTTTTAGGTAAAATTAATTATTTTTAACAACAGGGGGCGTCTACGCTATGTGCTGATATAGCTTAATTTTGAGACAGCGAGATTTTAAGTTAGAAGTTCTTATATTAAAAATATATGCTCTAACCACATACTAGTTAAATTGACCTAATAATTTTGTTAGAGAAATTATAGCTCATGTAGTAGAGAAATATCTTCTCTAACAACATATTGTATGATTCAACCAACATGATGTATGGAGTAAGAATATTTTAACCTGAGACTTAGTTAAAATCTGCTTAAATCAACCAAATTATTTTTCTGCACAGTTTATAATAGAGTTTTACTGCCATTATAAAAACGACTAACAGTTATGCGTGTGCATTTCTTGTTGGTAATTCTCATGGAAATTTTCCAAAATTATTGTGATATATACCGTAGTAGACAAAGTTGCTAAAATTGGTGTCTTTCCTAAAAATTCGTTATCAAATAGGCGTGCCCGTCAAATCTATATCTTGACAGTTATTTAATTACTAACAAATATATTGGCACGTGTGCAATATATTTCTTATTAAAACTGACGACGTAGATATTCAGCTCCCGAAAGATCATTGATTAAGTGATCTTCCTTCACTACGTTTTCCATTACATTATAAATATCGTGTGCATGATACTCTTGAAATATGGTCTTAGTCCAAAAATATCTCTCAATTTGTATTACTTTATTTTTCATACCACCAAAACGCATTTTTTCTTTGATAAATCCATCTAAGATCCTAGTCGAATCCAGCAGTATTTTTGTTATAGATATATAAGCCGTAATTTTTTCTTTCATAGTTGTAAAGTCTGTCTTAACAGTCATGCCTCTTAACAGTAAAATAATAAATAAAAAAGTAACGTATTTGTTATGAACAATGACAGCACGAAATACAAATAATTAACGAAATCAATCGATGACAATTAACTGAAAATTTCGTATGTGCTTCCAAAAGTCGTTCACAATAGACGAATTTTTAGTTTTGGCAAAAATGCAATTTGAGCTGCTTATTAGTTAAGCGATTTTAAAAAGGTTGGACTAAATAAGCCAGTAGTGTTGTTGTTTCATATATTATTTTTAAAATAAGCAGTTGTTCTTTTGTGATATGCTTACAAAAGAAAATATTGTAAACAAAATGAAATATAATAAAGGGAAATACTAAAAACTATTTAATTTGAATAAAGAAAACGAAATGAATATTTGAAGTAGAATGGTAATCATTTTTATTTTATAAATTTAAATTAATTAATTTATTTATTTATGTATTTAAATTTCTAAGTAAATAAAACGCTCATATGACTTTAATGCAAGGAATATCTTTGGTTCAAAGAAGGTATTCTTTGCTTTAATGGATGACTGGAATTTTGTAACATAGTTTTAGTGAACATTCACAATAGATTGATTTTTGAATTTGACCGCTCTGAAACTTAAGACGTAAAACTTTTTGTGAGTAAAACTCAACTCTGAAGATTTTAAGAGCATTGTTTTTGCTTCAATTGTTTTTTTAGTAAATTGGGAATATTTTTTTGCTACTCTGAAAAAAAAAATTACGGCTATTGTAATTTGACAAAGTTAGTCGAAATTTTCGACAGCCCACCACTATCTTTCAATTATATACCGCTAATATTAAAGAATAATTTGGGACATACTTTAACGCATCTATTTATGAAATAAATATTTATTTCCTACCAAAGATTCTCATTACTTTGTATCCAATTTTATTTTCTTGTATTCGAAGTTCCCCTGATCAAAATTATTGATATTATGCAATATGTATACTTCTTGAATTTGATTGGGTTTTACACTGATTTACTGGTTTTGTTTTTGAACTATCGTTAAACAGAAAATTTTAATCTCTAAATTGAGTTTTTTCTGAATTCAATCACCCTATCTATATGAAAATAAAGTATGCAGTTTGTAAGGCACTGGACGAGTTCGTTAGGTTAAAGAGTTTTTAATACGTTTTGACCTAAAAAGGTGCCGTAATAATCGTTTTGAGCTAAAAAGGTGCCGACTATAAAGTCTTTATCTATCCAGTTGTTACTTCAGATGATAAAATATTATTTTGAAAAGAATATTCCAAATTCCTTTTTTCCGTTTTTATAACTTAAGAGTAAAAGATTTAATTACCAAGTAAATAAGTATTTACTTACAAATATTTAAATTTAAATATATCTAATCTATTCGCTATTTAATTATAAAAGTTTACTTTCATTTCTTGTCAATGTAAGAAAAATGTTCAGTAATGTGGAGTTGCCACATGCAATTAATATCTGTTAAAATAATCAACGGCAAGGAATTGATTTCAATAATTAAATAAAAATAAAATAATAAAATTGAATTAAAAAAAATTTTAATACAAAATGAGTTTCCTTATAGTTCGAATGTTTTTATTGAAATTTTTCAATATTCAAATATTTGCACAATTTGGGCGCAGTGTGAAGTTTACTAATTCGTAGTCGTGCAGTGATTAAAATTGTTTAAGTGATAGAAATACAAATTTCGAATGATTTATGGGTGAAGCGGCCTGCCGTGCGCAATCTAACCAATTTTATTTGATCAAAATTAAAAATATAACAATTTAATGATTTTAACACTTGAGTCTACAGGTGGCATCAATGGGACTCAGTATATTTCTTAAACGTTCACAGCGTGAAAACTTTAATAGAAAAATATCCCAAGCCAACTTTTAATGAATTTTATACAATATCAAATACAATTTTGTTGTTAATGGAAAGTGTAATTTTTGAACATTTTTAAGGAAATAAATAATATACCAATTCTTAGCTGGATTTGGAATAAGCCATACATTAAGCAAACACAAATAATCACAAATAATGCGATGTAAGATGAATATATTTTATGGATTTTTCATGTATAAAAGAGTGAAGCAATGTCTAGACTCCATAAATTTATAGTGGACGTGTTGTGAATTGCGAATTATCAATTAGCTTTTATTTAATCAATTACTACAGGAATGTCCATAAATATAAAGATTTTATACAATAAGTCTTGTATTTGAATTTCTTAAAAATAATACTTAAAGGATATTTTTTTGCTCAAATAAGATCCAGTAACAAATTAGTATTATCGAAATTTTTTAAAATACTATATATCTTGGTTTTTAATTGCGCTTTTGAACATATTAAAAAATTTTGAAAATGTTATGTTTAAAATATTGATTAATTGATTAATTTTTAATAACAATAGTATGAATTAACTCCTTATTTTTAAATAATAGAAGTATCTTCCTTGTATCATGAAATCAGTTAACAAGGAAATTTATTCTTATAATAATGCTAGTGCTATTTAATTGCTAGAATGTTTTGAGTAGAGTTGTGAAAATTACTTATTACTTAAAGTAATTATTGACTTGTGTACTGCAATCCTTCATTTTCCGCATATGGTACTGCTGCCCATTTCTAACATTCCTGTCCTGTTAAAAATATCACGGCATACAACAATTTAAGCATAGCTTCGTTATCTTTTATTCACTCTATAAAATTTTGTGCCCATCTGAACTAGAACATCAGACCACCCAATAGCATGAAGGTTTCAGAACCTTCAGAACCTTATGAATGATTAAATGTACTAACATTTTAATTGGATATGGATATGTTTTTAATTGCGACAAAAACGTATAAGAGGTTATATTTCATATCCCTATGGTAGGATAGGAAATCTTGAGTGTTAACCATCGAATTGTTTGAAAGATACACATAAAAATTGCACAAAAAATTGTGAGCCTAACATAATAAAATACATTTTTCGATTTGAGTCATCAATATATTCCTCTTCAATTCATAATACAAACATTCCAATGATTTTACAACTTTTTATATACATAGAACGATATTCGATACTTTTATGTTTCATTAATCACTTCCTATTCACTTCCCCAGTGTATATTTTTGAGGTTTGCAAATAGATAGTAATAGACAGAACGTCGATATATATGAAGAAGTAGAATTTGAAATATAATTCATGTAATTTGGACATCGTTATAATCGTTATACTCCTATAACAGTGTATTATTCTGACATAAAATTGTCTTTTTTTATTAGAGCAACTTCAGTATGTAGGTATATAATAATAAATATTATGCCATTGTTATAGGAATAAAATTCTGAGCATCACTAATTAATTTAGTTATTCTTACATTAAAATGTAATTAAAAATTAATTACTTTAATTAATTGAATTCATATCAATTACTGACAGGAACCCATTAACAGGATTGGTGAAAAATACACAAAATAAACAAAAATTAAATTGCTAGCTAAGTACTAGCACTATATATCCAAATAATATTCTAACATATCTAGTCAACTATTAATTTTTGACTGCTTTAGGTTTTGCCGGGTGTTATCTGCTTGTCAGCTGACTATGGATTAGTATACTGAGTCGAGTGAGAAAGCAAACAAACAATTCTTATTGTAGTACTTCAATATATCTAAACGGCCTTCATAACCATAAATTTATTCAAGTAAATAAAATAATGCGCAAACGTTCCTGTCATACCTCTACAATATCAATAATCTGTTGACAATTCATAAATTTATGATCCTAAAGAACGGTATTTAATCTGAACATAACAATAAATTATGAGCAATTTTCTTGGAGTAGAGTTTTTAGAACTTTTCTTATGAATCTATTCATTTGTATTAGCAGCACTTTTTCCATAAAACATAATTAATTACCAAAATAAATAATTTAACTTCATTACTGTCTGAAGAAGTGCGAACAATATCACCCGATGTGGATCTTTACAAGTATAGCTTTTATTAAGGTTTTTCTCTGTTGTAATTTTAGTAGAACAATATCAATATCAGCAGAATATTTTTGTTCAAATTGACATTTATAAAAAGTTACTAATTCGTTTATTATATAGTATATGAAACCATAAAAGAGGACCTTTTCAATATTTCAAATCAGAAATCACCAGAGTACCCAAAAATGTTTATAAAACCGCATAGCCAAAGTTTTTTTTATTGTGAAGAGGTCCTCGTTTAGAATTTTGTGTTGGGATATAATCATCTACATTTGTATAAACTTTGTGGCACATCTTTTGCTTTCTTCTCGATTTCTGTGTGTTATATTTTTTTGGACTGAAATACAAGTAGTCTCCAGTATTACAAAGATCTAGACCTTTCAAGAGACACTACGTTTTCTTCTACAATATTTGCATATATTTTTACAAAATCGTTTGATATTGAATCTTGGAGAACGTATTTTCATAAGAGAGCTCCAATATAATTGGTTCAAAACTATCCTGTGATGACAATGAGGGCAACATATAATTTTACTTTCGGTTTGGTTTTCTGTACTTGACCAAAAATCAAGAGATACAGTCTTTATAAATTTTTTATCATGTATTTTAATTTTTTTAGTCTGTAATGCCCATCTTAAAGCTTTATTTATTTGATTTATTACATGATCCTTGGGTATCTAAAAAATATTTATTTTAAATTAATTTATTTTTTAAATAAGCTTTAATATATTAATATTAAATAAATAAGAATACAGAATAGAAATGGTATATCTTCACAAAAATTTGCAAAAGGGGCACTTCCCGATTTCGTATGTAACGAAAAACTTATACAATATATATTCTACCATTTAATTAGGCACATGCTTTCGTTAAAAAAGATATACCAAAGTCGTAGTTCCGCTCTTAATTATTAACTTTATTATCTATCATTTCACCACTCTAATCATCTAACTTCAATACACTTAATTTGACATGATTTAGGCATATTCCAAATTTTTTTTTGTCAAACTATAATATGTTTATATATCTATTTTTATGTTGAGCATATCTACTTACACCGAAGATCGCACTTATACATTCGATGATCTCTTGCTTCGTTATGGCTCTATGTTGAGGCACAACAATCAGCACTAAGATCCTCATATCGTTTCTGACGCAATAGTTTTGTCTATTCATAGTGTACTCTATAGTTGAAGTTTTTTGGTTTATAATTCATTTATAAATTAATTAATATAATTATATCTTGAATTTCTTATGAAAGATATGAAAAATAAAAACAAATATTATAACAATAAAAATATAAATAAATTATATATTATATAAATTAATATATATTTTACATAAAAAATTTTTTGATAAATTTTGGCTGGTAAACTTTGATTTTGAAATTATATTATATAAAATATAATTATATAACGAAAACATATTTTGCTTATTATTTTAACTATTGAGAGCAACTACAATGGAGCTCATTCTAGATCCTTGTACTTGACATACAAGCCAAGTACGGTTTTGGCTTATTTGGCTAATGAACACTGATTGTGAGCTTTAAATTTGGTAAGGTTCGAGTTTGACCCATGGAACTCTTTTTAGCAGTCTCAAAAAATAATTTCAGCCAAAAATTCACTACTATTCGGAGAGATGGAATACCTGCTAAAGAAAGTTGATAACTATAATTTAACCGTCACTGTATGATTTTGTAATTTTCTTTATGATATACCTGAGTAGATGTATTACACTGGCGATGTAGTGAGGGCATGGGACTATTGGACCCATTAAGCTGGATATAGACTTATATGAATGATGGAGTTTCGGTAAGACAACTGGCGGCTAAAGCTCTGGACATCAAATTATTAAAATGAATATAAATTATTGTTAGTATATTATTAATTAAAATAAGAGTTTTACTGAAAGTATTATTTTACTTAATACCGTGTCAATGGTCACCAACGTGGACTACACTTCTAGTTTCTTTTTTATCTATTATATTCGCAGATCCTTGTGATAACTGACTGTTTGCATATCAAAACTATGTTAACTATGTACAACTTTTTTAAAGTATATGGAACGGTACTTCTTCTCAAACACTGGTAATTATTTAAAATCTGTCTAAAAGTTGAAATTGTTCTTCACTGTGAATTTATATTTACCAACTATTTAAGTCTTTTGCGAATAAATTTTCAATTAACTAGTTTAGTTTCCCACACAAGATCTGACCCACTTAATCCATGGCTTAAACTAAACTAAACTCAGTTCAAGTTTATTTAATTCAGTATTTCCTTCCTCTTCCACACTCCAGTCTTTAAGTCAATAAACCAATTAAAATAATCAACGGAGCATAGGCAGGCGAGCATTCAACTAATTCCACTCGTGGAAATTTGCAAATGAAAATGTAACAAAAGATTTTCACCAGATAAAACGCTAAAGACAAAAGACTCCCCCACTGCGAAGCGATGCGCGCTTCCATGTTCCTCATCAACTTAATTGCCTGCAAGCAATCTTAACGAACGATTTAAGATACAAAATTTAGCAAACAGAAAACTGAAAAAATATAAAAGAAATAGAAAAGATACATTTTATATTGCATGAGACTACGTTTCGGTGATTTGCATTATTCAAAGCAGTTTGCAAGGCTTTAATTGTGAGAATTGCATCTCATGTATTGGTACTTTTTTTCGCCATTATTTTCTTTTTTTCTTTTTTTGCCATTTGTGGGAGTTCATGTCGACGTGTTCGTAATGAAATATATTTCAATTTAAATCACTGAAAACGAAAATATCAGTTAATCAAATTTTGGTAGCTCTGCTGTCATTTTAATGACCACAAACATTTTTTGGGCCGAACTGCCTTCTACGCAAAATGACTTCAAATTTCGATATGAGAAATTTAGTAATGCGCGCCTGCTTCAATCGATTGACACCGCTGGTTCATGAGATCCTACAAGTCTTGGAATATAAACTGTGATTGCATGAAAATGAAATGAAAATTGAAAAATCGCATTTTCAATGTTTTTTCTTTCTTTATTTTTTGTTTTTTTTTTTTTGAAGATTTCATTCAACTGCAACGAATTGGGAATGCAACCAGGCAGTAGCAAAGGCATCTAACGAATCGTGAGCGCACATCTCGTGCATTTGCTTAACGCTGACGTGAATGTGTCGTTTAGTTCATTTATTTACCATTTCATCCATTTTTGGTTGCTCCAAGTAGACTGAATAATTTTTATTATTTTAAAAAATAATAAAAATGTTTCCATTAATTAAAAAAATACTTCAATGAATGTTACTTAAAACGTGCTTAGTTCTTTTAAAAAGATTTTTCGTTATATTATATTACTCATTAGAGATTTAAAAGTAAATTATTGAAATTATAAACCAGATTATATATATAAAATTAAAAATAAAAAGCCACCAAATTCAATAATCATAATATCGAACCAAATGAAATGAATGCAAGAGAGGATTACTTGGCTCACGTAGGGAAAAAGTTCATATTGGATTTGGAATCCATTTTTAATTATTTTTTAACTGAAAAAATTATTTAATCAAAAACTTTATAACTCCTCTCGAGTTATCCAAGCATCTAACTTTAATTATATACTTCTTTATTATATATGCTTTAGGCAGTTTGAAATCTTATTGATTATTATGCTTAAATATGTGTGGAAATTATGATGATTTAGGTATACGAGCATTTTTATTTAAACACTCTGTGTAATACGCGTATATTATACTCAATAACGACAAGATATCTCCAACTAATTTCTATTCTAAACTGATTCAGAGTGAGTAGATTCCATAAGGACTTTTAATATTACATTCATGTTTGCATATGTATATACGTATGGTTGTAATTCAATACTCAAAGCTGGAACAAGGAACATTAATGGAAAGGGAGACATTCTGACAAATCCACTTCAATGGAGAAAGTCATTGTTTTTCACTCATCTAGGAATGGACAGTAATGATTCTTGCGAGAGTACCCTTATCAGCCTACAAACTTTAAGTCTTTCGCCAACTATATCATAATCACAACAATATAAAATGGATCTTAGCTAAAATTTCTACAACCGTCATAATCGCCTTTTTAATCGTTAATAAAAAAAAAACATTTGTTTCACATCTATTTGTGATCCTGATTCCACCAATTACTCATTAAGATTTATTGTTAATAAAATCTAAATTTTAAGATTTATGTTATGATAGCTCTTAAAGGAATTACACGACATGGATTAGAATGGGTAATGGTTGAATAATGGATTGGGTATGGGTGGAATATTCAAAGAACGACCGGTAGCATGTAGCGAACCTACTCGTTAACCACTACGTCCAAATGCCGTTCAGCACCGTTCAGGATTTTACAAGCAAGTATGACTTTGTATCGACATTTGTTGTATACATATATATATATATATATATATAGTGATCATATATATATATAATCATTTACTACTCACTATTATTTTATGCGATTGTTCATGCGTTGAGCTCTGCAGTTGTTCCGGGAATCCTTCTGCTCTGTGTATGAATCACGTAAATATAAAAAATTTACAACTTTTAACATCAATATCACAAGGAATAAGCTTAGCAACAAAAAAATTTATTATACAAAATTATAAATCAAAACCTATTTTTAAATACTGCAAAAGCAAAATACTCTATTATAATTACATCGTCAAGTTTTAAACTTGTAAAATCTGAACAACTTTTAACAATTCAACGGTATTTCCGAACCTTCTAGTTTGAACACATAATGGTTTTGTAGATTAAAATCCTTTCATCATATTTTTCAAGAAAATACAATTTTTAAGGATCTTCTGGTACAACGTGTATAGACATCTTTTTCAGACCACGGAATATGGTAATGTCAAGAGCCTTCTGAGTTTCAGCTAAGATTTCATAAACATCAGAAGAGTTTTTAATTTCCTTGCCATTTATATGTGTAACAATATCGCCAGGACTCAAGCCACCACTAAAAATAAAAAATACTATTAGCAATATGTAATTTTAGGAAAAATAATTAGAGCAATTATACGCACGTGTGAGCAGGTGAACCAATAATAACTTTCCACACCAAAACTCCATGTTGCACATTGTCTGGCACGCTTTGACTGCGGGATTTGAGCTCATACAAAATATCCGGCGTTAAGGTCAACATTGTTATACCCATATATCGCTTAGTTGGATATTGTAATTTAGTACTTTTGCCTTGTGTACGTCGCTCAGCGGAACGTTTTAAAAATATTTTCACATAGTCAATTGGTATTGCAAAACTGATACCAGCTGTTACTTTCATAGAATTAATGCCAATCGCTTCGCCGTCTAAATTAACTAGCGGACCACCTGAATTACCAAATGTAATTGCAGCATCTGTTTGTATATAGTTAATATCACGATTTTTTAGACCCAATTCTTGCGATGGTCGATGTATTGAACTGACTACACCAGCTGTTACGGTGTTACTTAATGCTAAAGGACTACCTAAAGCTACGACCCATTCTCCAGAGCGTAATGTAGAACTTTTACCCAATTTCATTACAGGCAAATCTTTGCATTGTATACGCACAGTAGCTAAATCAGATGTCTGATCAACATCTTCCACAACACCCGGAAATGTGCGACCATCGTTTAGACGCACTTGCACCATCGTATGTGGTTTATTTATAACTACATGTGCATTTGTTAATATTAAACCATTTGATTCGATAATGAATCCAGAGCCATTTGAAGCCGTTAGAGGTTGTCCCGTGTAGTAGTCAAAATGTCGTTTATCCTTGATTTCAATATATACAACTGAGGAGGCGCATACGTCGACAACATCCGCAATAAAATTGTACTGTTTCCGACGTCCAGATAATGATGTAAACGATTTAGCTGATATAGTTGGCAGTATGTCATCTCTGTATATGTAAAGTGCATATGCACAGAATGTACTGAATATTACCGGCTTTATATATCGAAAAAAAATCCTCGTCCTGTGTTTCTGTTCTTCTTTGTGTTTATTATTGTTTTGGTTTCTGCTTTGTGCCACAACGTGACGTAGTAAATTAAGTCCACGTTGCTTACTGACATTTGTTAAATAATTTGTAAACCTACTAACTGACATTAAAGCAAAATACTAAATAAAATAAATAAAAATATATAAAATGTTATGCACTTTTGATTTTGGAAATACTATTTTAGTCCTGTCAGCTGTTATTGTTTACATCACCTTTCATCGAATCTATTACAATTTTCGCGTTAACAACTATTTATTTTTGCATTATAGTCAAAT